ACTCGGCGAAATTCAGCAGAGCTGTTAAGTTAACTGAGCTTATAAAAAAGTATATAATATAATACATTCTTAAAAAATAACATTCAAAGAAAAAAAATGAGTAAGAAAAATTAAAATAACTAATTAACGCAAAATAGTAAAAAATGAAAATTGCATGGAAAGGATACAAAATTAATAAATCAAATTACTGTGTAATTCTATATCCGCTCAACATATATGTTTTAAATTTTGTTTTGAAAGTGAACGTCTTTAAATCATGGGAGTATAGATTCTAATTGGAATTCTACATCTTGGATACCAGGTAGGAGAACGAACGCTGATATAGCGCCGTGCGATGTTTGGAAATTTCCATATTATTACACTGTCTTATAGCATAGTTGTCATATAGAGTGTCGGCATTTTAGTTTATTAGTCAAATACTCAGGAAAACCATTTTGCAAAATTATGTGTAAAAAACATGCAAAATGTAATTTTTGTCTGTCTTCAATATTTAGCCAATTCAACATGTCTAGTTTATATGTAACGTGGTCTCTAGATATTAATCCGTACAATACATGAATTCTGTACCTTTTATAACTGTCTCTTAGATTTTTGATCGAGACAAGGCCCGAAAATTGGATAAAATAATTGGATTGTGATAATACAAGAGCTTCACATAATTGCTTTTTTCAATTGTAGTTTAGAAAATCTTTGTTTTTGTATAGGTTTCTTAAGGATATTAATGATGCCCTGACCAATTTACATACTTGAAATCTAAACCTCAACTGCGAGTCAAATATAAGTCCTAACTTTTTTTATTCCCTGTCTATGAAAATAATCGAATCAGACATTTTTATTTCTATGTTCTGGGCCGCCCATGCATAATTTGGTCCGAAGTAAATGATCACTGATTAGTCGGATTTAATTATAACCCGTTCTTGCTGGAATAAGTAAATATTTTTTCTAAACACTGTTTAACTTTGTTTTGGTTAGGCTTGCTTCTGCTTTTCTAAAACTTAAATGTAATTGGGTATCGTCAGCATATCTATGCACTTTGCAGTGGTTTTCATTCACTGCCATGTCCATGGTGTATATAAAAAGTAACGAACCGAGAATAGATCCCTGAGGAACGCCCTTAGTAGTAAATTTTGCCTCCGATTGATTACCGTTGATCGAAACAAACTGGGACCTATCAACTAGATAGCTGTGAAAGAAATTACCAGCAGCCACAGAGAACCTGTTAAACTTAAGTTTAGCACAAAGCAACATGTAGTCTAACGTGTCAAATGCCTTACAATAATCCAATATTATCAAGGCAGAAGTTCGACCTTTATCAGCGACCTTTATTCGACCGACTACCTTTTAAATCTCCTCCTTTCATTCCAGTATACCGTGCTGGCAATCGTAACTTTTGGGTCGGGATTTACATGTTGTGTGGAAGTAAATCGTATAGGGGTCTTATTAAGTCGGAGTGTGCGAAATGCGACGGTGTGCTGTTGCGGCGTTGCCGGTACGCCTTTCCCTATCAAGTAAAGTAAAATCACGATCGCAAACAATTTATTTTTAAAAGACTTTTTTTTTCTAAAAGATAACTAGATAAAATCATTAGATATGTTTCTCAGCATCTGAAATGGAATTATATAAGGATATCGTTAGGGTGTCCATTTTTTTAACGAGAAAACGTCAGTAATCGCGATATTTTAAAAACTCAACTTTTTAACACATAAAACGTCATAATTTAAAAACCACTTTAGATATTAAAACTTTTTTTTTGTTTTGAAGATCGGATCTTTTACAATATCTTTAAATAAGAAAAAATCGATAAGAGGTTGTTTTTCGCCATTCAAAAATTGTAAACAACACATCCATTTACTTCTAGTGTGTAGCAATTTTCAGCAATCGTGTAACTTTTTTATTTATAAAGATTTTCACATACTGCGAAGAAAATATAGCAGAAATGTTAAGAAAGTTTCGAAAATGTTCCAGAGTTTGAATAGCGTGACCACTGTCAACACCAACTAAATTCCACTTATTTTGATCAAAAATGCATGTGTTTCTAACTTGCACTTAAAAATTTTCAAGCTATAGGGAAAATTACAACGTCTCGTTAATAAACAAAAAAATAAAGTATCACGAGACGTAATTTTTAATCGTGAAGCTGAACGCATGATGTCCACCTTTCCCTAGAACTTTAAGTAGAGATGTACTGATTAGCTTACTTCGGGTTTCTTTTATTACCGATTCTGAACCGTCCTAGAACTGTGATACGTATGCGCAGAAGGAAATATGAAGACATTATTTAATTTGCGCGTGCGCTGCAGAGTTCTAGGACGGTTCAGAATCGGTAATAACAAGAACCCGAACAAAGCTATTGTGTCGACTGGGCGACTGCAACCAATCTGCTATATCCCCGTCTCTTAGCAATGTTTGGCAATGTGCACAGTTTTTCGGTTTATTTCATACGTTTGGGAACGTGTTTACTGTTCTCTCTTTGTTCAGTAAATTATAAACGCATTGTACTCTTCTTACATACGGAAATCTCGACCCAAGACTAACCTTTGCCAGCCCTTAGTATATGCATTTTTGCTGCCCTAATGGCAATGCAATTGTTAACAATGATAAGAACAAGGTAACTTTAGTAACTTCAGTAACAGTTTTTTTTTATTTTTTATTTCGGATCCTGTCTTAACGGACAAGTCTGATGAAAAATCCCCCTAATTATCCATCTTGGATTTTTTCTCCTCCCATGGTATGTAAATCTTTGCTACTACATGACAAACGCTCTGTCTCTGGATCATTTATGAGAGTCAAATTTGCTGAAATATCCTCCAAGTATAACCCTAAAAACATAATTTATTCTAATGGTTTAGTAACAAGCAATCACACTGGCTGTGCTTTTGTCTTCAGAGAAATGCATAGTCAATTCAGATTACATTCTTATAACGACATTAAACGCAGAACTTCTATAACTAGCCTAGGCTCTAGTATATCTGTACTATAGATTCCTAACCACGTGGGCATTATCGGTAATGAAAGAGCCAATAATTACACTAAAAACGGTCCATCTGTTCACAAAATTCACCCGATTATGCAAGTCCCTGATTCAACTGGAGTGGGATCTTTTGGAAGAACCCAACAAACTCTGGAATATCAAAAAGACAAGACAAAACAAGCAACCAAATACGGGAAGGGGTTTTGAAGATATTTACCACTCTGGCTTACCACCCTGGGATTTTTTCTTGAAAATGATGTTGTGTCATATTTCATCAACGAGTAGAGATAAACTCGAGGGGTGTCTCACTATTGGAATTACAAGTACATTTTCTTGGCAGTCATTCCGGCATCAGTCTTACGCCAGTTGACTATAATTATATGGCAAATATAAGCAGTTTTCTTAGAACACAGACATTAAAAATTCATTCAGACATTAAAATGATACTTTGGTAGTATATACAGGGTGGCCCATCGAAAACGTTCCGCAAGGCGTAACGGCCAGGATAATTTTTTTTCAGAAAATTCAAAAACACGTCAATTTTGTTTGTGCACGAAAAAAAAGCTAAACTGACTTAAAGATTATTAATCTTGAATCAACGATATGCTAGTTTCCCCATTCCGCAAATCTAGTTATACTTCTTTTCAAAAAAACCTTATCCTTAGAAGCTAAGAAAATTTATCTTTTATTTAAGATTTACCTAGTATTGAAATTAAGATTATTACTACACTCCAGACAATTCGAGATAAAATCTTGTTTCGAGTACTACTTATACTTATTTGTAAACTAGCAAATTATTGCATTAGGTAATTAGAAATTCTTTGTGTACATGTAATAATTACTTTATTCAAGTGTAATATCACCTACTATAAAATAAAGCCTTTTCTTACTTTTAGGTTAATTACTAGACGCGCCGACTAGGTAGTTTATAAAATTATAAAGTTTTTTTGTTATCGTTTGTGCTTGTGATATGTGAAAATGGAGGACCTTCTTCAGGCATGGGAGATGACGATTTGATCCCAAAATTTCAAGTTAAGTTTAGCAATAATCCTACATTATTTGATGACATTGGTTGGAGGTTAGGGGGGACTCCATTTTAATATGCATTATTTCTTATACACTGGTGGTAAACTAGGTATATACGCGTTTGGAATGATTCAATTATGTTTTAACAATTTTTATTACTGTCTCTCGTTTTTAATTAGCGATGCCGCTGTCCAATATCTACCTATATTGGGCAATTACACAGTTTTATTGTATTTTCTTATTACGAAAAGCATATAATTTGGTAGGTGATGTTTGGCTAATCTAATTTAAAAAGTATTAACCATATTCGGGGTTGGTCTGGTGATATTTCAAAATTCCGTATCTAATGTAAATGGAAATTAAGAAAAGATTTTACCAAAACAAGAGTTTCTAATAAGATCGAACCCGAATCTCCGAAAGCATAGAGAACACGTTACCGAATTTTGTGAGAACTATATAGTTTTTCGATCCCGGTTAATATTCGTCCTAAGAAAAACTAGTTCATCCTAAAATCGGGTTTGCCCGGTAACATACATGAATATAATAGAGTTGGGACATGCTAAAAATTTTAATTTCCATTTCCAATAGGTATGGAATATTGAAATATCACCAGAATAACCCCGAATATGGTTAATACTTTTTAAATTAGATTAGCCAAACATCACCTACCAAATTATATGCTTTTCGTAATAAGAAAATACTAATAACTAATAAAACTGTGTAATTTCCCAATATAGGTAGATATTGAACAGCGGCATAGCTAATTGAAAACGAGAAACGATAATAAAAATTGTAAAAACATACCTATATAGTTTACCACCAATGTATAAGAAATAATGCATATTAAAATGGAGTCCCCCTAACCTCAAACCAATGTCATCAAATAATGTAGGATTATTGCTAAAATTACCTTGAAATTTTGGGATCAAATCCGTCATCTCCCATGCCTGAAGAAGGTCCTCCATTTTAACATATCACAAGCACAAACCATAACAAAAAAAACTTTATATAAAATACCCGGTCTTTATATAAAGTCTCCTATCGCAGAGGAGAAACAGAAACCAAATGAAGATAGGAATGAGGAATACACTGTTGCGTTGTTGCTGTTGGGGATGGTCACTTAACCGATTTCAAGTAAAAGTTTTAAAATGTTAAGAATACCTACTTATTATTATATAAAAGCATTTATACTTCATTTAATAATAGTTTCTTCGTTGCTAGAGGATTTATTCACTTGATAGTAATTTAAGTTTTTCTTAAATATAAGTCATTTTATTCTTTTTTTAGATTGAAAATTACTTAAAGTGACTATAACTATATTTAAAAAGCAAGTGTAAAAGTAAAATAGTTCCAAATATTTGTTGTACTCATGGAAAGAATACTATTCTTAAAGAAAGTATAAAATTTTAAGTGTATGATTGTTCTTGAATATAGAAATTATTTTTTTCCGTGTGAGGGGGACAACTTTTGCCATAAAAATGGTTGCAAAATCTTCAACCCTCTAAGCGGAGGTGTCATCCCCCAACGTTTTTCAAATGGGAAGGTGGGTCAAGTGGTACCGCAATGAAAAGGGCTTTTTATTCTCTATACTTTCCCGCTTCGTTTTTGAAAATCGGTCGTCATTGAGAAAATATGAAGGATTGAAATTTGAAAAGTCTATTTAAACATTTATAGTAAATGATAAGGATAAATTTCTTCGACCAATTTGCTTTTTTTTCTTATTATTTCTAGATGTTTACGCATTCTTTCACTTGCCACAAGGTTGAACGATCAGGTGCGGCAGTTACTAGATAGCTGTTCTGTGACTTGTGCGTTGAAGTTCTTATTATCTCAATATCGTTATACTTTTTAACAATTATGGTGTACTCACTTGCAGAAAAAGTGGAAATAATCGAACTTTATTTTAAAAATATGAATGTAGCAATCGGGTTCCGCAGATATTCAATGAATGCCATCCTGAAAAACACCTTTATGGCAAAATTGTTAGCGAGTTAGTAGCAAAATTTCGCGAAACTAGTTCCGTTATGAATAAAAAGAGGCAGAGGGAAAACCCTGTAGTAAATGAAGCTATGGAGGTATTCGTATTGGGCCAAGTTGCCATGGATAGTACGCTGAGAACAAGAAAATTAGCCAATGCAAAATTAGCCGGTGTGAATCGTACCAGTGTCCAAAGGATATTAAAAAAACACAAGTTCCACCCGTACAAAATTCAATTGGTACAAGAACTCAACGAAGACGATTTTGATCGTCGCTTGCAATTTTGTGAAACTGTGAGTGAACGAGTGGCGAATGATAATAATTTCCTATTTAATGTGTGTTTTTCGGATGAGTGTACTTTCTTTTTGAACGGTGTAGTTAATCGGCATAACTGTCGGTACTGGGCTGAGGGGTTTTTCACGAGGTGCACACACAAAACCCTCAGAAATTGAACGTGTGGGCTGGTATTTTTGGAAATTCTATTTTGGGTCAGTATCAAATTGGTCGAAGGAATTTATCCTTATCATTTACTCTGATAAATGTTTAAATAAACTTTTCAAATTTCAATCCTTCATATTTTCTCAGTGACTCGACCGATTTTCAAAAACGAAGCGGGAAAGTATAGAGAATAAAAAGCCCTTTTCAGTGCGGTACCCCTTGACCCCCCTTCCCATTTGAAAAAAGTTGGGGGATGACACCCCCGCTTAGAGGGGATTTTGCAATCATTTTTGGGGCAAAAGTTGTCCCCCTCACAAACAAAATTGACGTGTTTTTGGATTTTTTGAAAAAAAAAAATTCCTGGCCGTTATGCCTCGCGGAACGTTTTCGATGGGCCACCCTGTATACATTTTTTACCCAAGTAAGATAGGTATTCCTTGAGTAAAGTATTGAACTTTATCGTAATTAAGTTCGATATGCCTAATATTTCATAATTCATAATTCAATTAAAAATATATATTTTAGGTGAAAAACATCGAAATTTGGCTAAAATTCCGATTCACTAATCGACTTGGCATGCCTAGAAACCACCAAATACAACATTTATACATTAAGAGGTACCTATTGAAGATATTTAAGTTATACGGTTTCCCTTTCCAACCAGTATATCGATGGCAGTATCTTATAAAATGCACGGTAAGGTTATTATTTTTTAAAGAAATTCGAGTAAAAATCTTAAAATGGAAACCCGATATGCTGTTTTTTTGAAATACAAGTTTACCCTCCGCGCATATATACGAATTTAATTCAGAATATAAACTTTCACAAAAAAAGTCTGTAAATAAATAACTGATATCCTATTTTTATTTAAAAATATCGTTATAGCACAAATAGTTGTTTTTAAATAAACATTTGACATTTGGATTAACCGCTCCTGTTATTTGTTGGACCGCCAATCGTTTTTGTCCCTGTAGGTAAGCTAGATAAGTGGCTGCTCAATTACAAGTATAACTCAAGACTCCCTCCATAACTTGTGGCGTAGAGCTATTAGCACCAAATTTAACGCCTCTATCGTTCCTTTGCACTAGTGCCTTGTTCCTGGCGCCAATAATCTGTCGGTATTTCTCGTTAATCCATTTCCAATTAAAGTTCTGTGTGTTTTAGCAGTCGTTCCGTAAGGAAGATATATCATACCAATTATAAGGGTTAATTTCGTTTTTCAAATTCTCTGACTTTATTTAAACAGGATAGCGACGGCTATAGTAGAATTTCGATGTACTATGTCTTTGGTTCTGGACATGGGACCTATACCAAATTTTAGTGAGTTAATATAGGATTTACCAGAAAAAAATATGTATTATTAAAAATACGACTTGTTTTTTTTTTCTTTTACGATTGTCGCGTGTGCACCACCAACGTTTTTATAAAATATAAAATTAATCTTGTTTTTATTTTTTGTATAAATATTGTTACATTTTATCTAGAAATGTTGAATATAGTCAATAAAATCTTAACCGCTATGAAAACATACTGTTATTATTGCTTTTAATTAGTCTGGAAATTAACCCTCAACGGCTATATTGAATAATTTCCCTTCAATATAGAAAATAAAATGTTTTCGTATCTTTCTATGTTTTTATGAGCTTACATGTGTGTGTGTGTGTGAGTGGATTATAAATATATACACCTAATAGAAACAATTATAAATTGGCAATCAAACTTTCTTTGAAAAATTACGTGGTAAACATAAAAAGGTAATCTATTTATACATTTTCATCCTCGCAGCAGTATAAAAATATTTTTCTAAAACACTGCAGTACAGATATAGGTACTGGGTTTTTATTTTCATGAAATCATTGCCATCTGTGGTTTCCATTAAGAAAAACATATGTTTGTGTCATATGTCAAAAATGACCAGCTTTAGAAAAAAAAAGCAGAACACAGTCTCATTAGGGATGTGATTATCTACAACTTTATCTGAAAGCTTTTTTAACATTGAAAATGTTTCTGTTATCCTATATAAGGGAGCCCAAATCGAATTAAAATGCTACATTTGCCACACCATGACGTCATATATACAAGGGTATAGGAAATCTCGGCGCAGCGGCGGCAGTCGGCCAGCGCGCGCAAAAACCATTACATCACTAATTGTTTATTGATATATCTTTATTAGTTTAAAAGCAAAAAATATGGGGTTTGCTTTGATACCCTATCAAGACATAAGCGAAACTTTTAAATTGTTTCTTTTTTTCATTTAGGCTTTCGTTTTTCGTTAAATGAAAGTTATATTAAAAAAAATCTATTTTTAAACCAAATTTTCGCATGATTGAAATGATTATTCATGTTTAAAGTTTTTTTTGGTCATAAGCGCTAATGGAAATGCTTTTTCGTAAATAATTATAAAAAATTACTCCCTACGAAGACTTTATTGTGTACTGGATGAAAAAATAAGTATTTGTTTTCTCTATACGGTGGTATTAATATATCGATTTTTGATGATAGTGCCTTTTACCCGGTCTAATTTTGTACTACTTTCGGAATAAGGGTCCCCATATCATGTACTGTACTTCCATCCCTGAAAAATTCAGCTTGTGACACCGAAGTGAGAGGTAACGTCAAAATAAGCTTTAATCTACCTAGATCATAGGTAACTGTAATTAACTGCATATTCTACCTAGACAGTAGCTGAACTAGCTGACAGTAGTAATTAATTTGTTATCCGATAAGTAGTTGTCATTATATAAGTTTAATCATCTTATACCTCCTATAACGGTAGGTTTTAGATTTTTCCTGATTGGTTTATTAAACAAAAATATACTGGGCATATAAATGTCTGTTACAGGTTAATTCGTTAAAGAAATATGTTACGCACATATTATTTTAATAATAATAGTATAATAGTAATGGCTATATTATGTTATAACACATACATATGTATTGAATGTACTTATTTTAACCAATGCATTGTTTTGTTTTTAGTCTCACAAATAAGAAATGTTTTATAGTTTTTATTATAGAAAACAGTGATTATACAATTTATTTACACCCCTTACACTGTTTTCTGTAAGGGGTGTAACCAGGAGTATATTTCGTAACCTCTTACGATATAAGAGGGCCCCCACAAAGTGTTTTATTACTTAATGCTTAAAATTTAATAATATATTTGTACATAAAATAAAATAGACTAGAAGTACAAGATTTTAAGTACAGTACAAGACAAGTACAGTACAAGATTTTTTTTCTAATTATTTTAGTGTATTTTTAGTCACCTAATTATAAAGGAGAGATATCCAACCATTGCATTATTTTACTCACAAATAAATGTTTTATGGTTTTTATTATAAAACAACGATTAATTTATTATACACCCCTTAACCCAAACACTCCAAGGAGGATATTTCGTGACCCCTTATTTAAAGTGGACAAGCTTTATAAGTCAATGTTTTAATTACCCAGCGTGTTTAATAAAAATCTAATGTAATTTTTCATAGAAATGATCTGACGTAAAAAGCAAATTTTATCAAAAAACTTTTTGATTATCTACAAGGAGTAAACCGCTGACAAATGTCTGTATACTAATGCTAAAGTAATGCCAAATATACAAATTAAATACCAAAATTTCTCATATAATGCCCCACTAATGCCAAGCTGATTCCAATATAATACCACTAATACTACGAATAATATGTAACACATTTGTTTCACGCATTAACCTGTAACAATACTGGTAGGTACGTGTACAGATTTTTTTCTAGGTAACTTAAAAGTCGTTAAAAAGTCTAATTATATTTAAAGAAGACATAATTCCAACAAATTACATTATAAGGCCAATAATGCACAAGTAATACCATTAAAATTTTAGCGTTTTTAACTTGTGTAACATATTTCTTTAACGAATTAACCTGTAACAATATTGGTAGGTACGCGCACAGATTTTTTCGCTAAATAACTTATTAAGTCGTTAAACAGGCCTATAAAAGCTATAACAACATAGGTAACTAATATTTATAATTTAATTCGAGTTTTAATCTCAAATAATAAATGTTTTTACTGGTGTATTTCTGAAGTGTTCATTATTAAAAGTAGATATTCTTCAAGTTATGCGAAGTAATAAGTAATGTTTCCGGTGAGACCGCGTATATGTCACCGGTTTTCTGGTTAGTATAAAAACTTTTTCTATAGAAAGAGTTTTTTCTATATTTTCCTTTCAAAATAAGACTAATTTCTTATCATTCTTTTAAATATTACAGTGTTTCTTTTTCCTAAAATGTTATACTTAATTTTCGCTTAAAATTAAATAATCACAAATGGAGGAAAGTATACGTTATTGAATAAAGTTTATACAAATCACTTTACCATAACAAAAATGTAAAAACATGTCATGGCGGAAGATATTCAGGTGGCATTTCACACATTTATCTATTAAAATCGAGATTAAAATAATAAACTTGCGTAACATGTTATACACGAGATAGAAAATTTCAGAATCGATTAATACGCAATACGCTAAGCAGTCAACTTATTCCTATGCGCGGATGAGCGTCTTCAAGACTCTTCCTTCGGCCAGGGTCACGACGCCGCCGAAGAGGAATCTCATCAATCCTACGTTTGGCTAAACAGGCTGGACACGGTGGAGTACGATATTGGCCAGTCTGAATATTTATAAAAATTTGCAAAGTAAAATATGTTGGAAAAATAATTATTCCATACATATATAAAAGCTCAAAGGGTTTTTTTGTTGCATCCATCCCGCCGAAACCACTTTTCCAATCTTGATAATTCTTTTTTTAAATGAAAGGTATATATGTGTAGATTTGTTATGAAGTATTCTTATAGTGCTTAATGGCTATTTCTTTGTGTAAAACGACTAAATACTAAAACATACCTGAAAAACACCTACACACAATACCTCCAGAAATAAATTATTTGTCATTGTCAGTGGTGTGTCAGTTAGATTATATATTACGTTTTTAGATATTTTAGAGTGAGTTCATCCCGCCAGCTTTACATACATAAATATTAGCACAAAGGTTCGTTTAAACGACATTAGTGAATTAGCTACACAAAGCGATTTTAGAAAATTCATTCTCTTAGAGAGTAAAATTATCTCGGAACAGTTTGTTGTATGAAAATTCCTTACTATTTGGTCTAGAAGAATGAAATCCTACAAAAAGAATTAGAAGAAATTTTTGAAATTCATCAACCAAATAGGTAAAGTTAGTAAAAATTTATATAAAACTTGGTGACCTCTGGATTATACACATAAAAATTGGCACAAAGGTAAAGCGAATTTATGATATTTATACCCTTAGGGTGTAGAATAGGGAATTAAAGTTTGCTGTACGAAAATGCAATATTATAACATTATAAACCAGACAGTATAAAATTTTATACAAGGGTTTATTTAGTGACATCATAACGAAATATATCTTCCTCAATTATCCTTCAAAGAATAAAAAATAACCTATAAAGAGAGTATCAGTGCTCTTAATAAATAAAAAAAAGATGAAAAATAAAAAACATCTATGCTCACTAGCTCTCTATAAAGAAGTAAAAAATCATTTAAATCAATGCATGAATGATTCGAGGTGTAACGCAAACGTAGTCGCGAGAAAAAGCTAGTAATTTATTAAATTATTTTATTTAACTCATTAATTTTCATTGAAAAGGATTTTTTGTAATTCGCCACTATATTATTCATCATTTTTAATGCCCCCCCGGTTGCATCTTTGTAAAGGACTGTGAATTTTTTCTAAAATAGATTGTAATGGAATTAGAACTCATTTTTAAAATAGCCAAAATGTTTTTTTTTTCAAAATATCTAGGAAGCCATAATTTTTTTCAAAAATCTAAAAGACACATATGTTTGTCTTTGCAAAAACTGCAATTATTTCCCATTTGACCGACTCTCTAGCTCCAGTACTTTCCAAGATACCCATAGAGAACATCGTAGAAAACTCACCCTGTATATATAGGCAGATGTTTAATAAAATCCATAGGTACTAACAGGACACTGTCTCCTCAATGAACATCTTAGTAGAGTCTAAAATAGAAACGACGAATGCTAATTCTCTGTGGAAAATAGGGAAACGCCAGAACACTCTTCATCACTGAGTGCGCCGAGACGACAACTACGCGTGCCATAAACTTTGGTATAGTAACACAATAGAATCTATAAGGTCGCGGTGACTAACTTCCCTTCTCACATATAATCTGCAATCTACAACATTCGATCTCTATTCTATCTCATTTGTTATATTATCGTTACAGGTTGGTTTTGATTACGTGCTCGAAATATTCGAGCCAAATGAGATAAACGACATTCATATGAGTATAATTTATCCTTAATAATAATATAAGTTTGGGATACCTACGGACATATATGGGATCCGCCATCTTGAGTTTTGCCAATTCCGAGGTCAAACTCGCGATCAATGGCTCATTTGAATTCAGATTCGCAATCAGCCACTCAAGAGACTCACATAATATATCCTGATTTTATTCGTATCCGTGTTTTCTTTTAAATTCGCGTCGGCCATATTTGATCAGCTATTTTTAATTTTGCGAATCCGACGTCAGATTCATGATCAGCGACGCATAAAAATACATATGCCGGTTTTGGTCAAAATCCTTGCGACTTTTGAAATTCGCATCGGCCATATTGGATCCGCCGTTTAGAATTCTACCAATGCGACGTCAGATTCATGATCAGCGACCCAAAAAAACCTTCCTATACCGGTTTTGGTTAAGATCCGTGCTATTCTCGACAATCATAACTTGTGGTAGATTTTTTGAGATTAGAAAAAATATGAGACATCATGCTAGTTCAATTTTGATGAGTGTTCAAATATGGTATGCCCTTCGTGTACATCTGTTTCATTGAGATGGTGTATACATACTTTTTTCATATTAAAATTTATTACCTAAGACACAAAATATACAATAAACGCAATAATAAAATTAGCAGGGGCGGCTTGTCCTATGAGGCAGGTGAGGCAGTGCCTCACCAATAAATTTGAAAAATTACACGTATTAATCGATACATCTTTAATCACAATTTTATATTTTTTCCTATTTGCATCAATAATAATTGTATTTTTCATCCGTTATTCTACAATAAATTACCTACATCTTAAATTACGATATCTTATTTTATCCTAGATACCTCGCCATACAGGATTGGTAACTTGATATCTAGGCATATGAATTACATGTATTGGAATGAAACGGCTATAAAAAGTATAAGCTTAAACAGAGATGGACAACAATTTCCCCGTTTCCACTTCCACTACGACTATCGAGTTAGACAAACTCCAATAAGACAACAAATTTTGGAAATAGGACCGTCTCCGCGCCTCATCCCACCCACCTGCCCTTTATCGCTATTAATATTATTCTTCTCTCCGCGCCTACGCGTCGCGCCAGCGTGTCAGTCCATTAGAGTTGCCAGGTCTACCTCTTTCGTCTGTAAGCTACCGATCTACCGATTTAAACAAAATCTAGAAAAACTACTAAAAATTAAGCAACTATCGCGTCATCAACCGTATATTCTGATATTCGTAAACAATATTGTTTATTATATTTTGTTTAGAAATTATAGGTCATCGTTCTGTCCGGTCGCAGAATTACGAAGACATTCTCAAAAATTCTTATTATCCCAGATTATGTGCTGTATTGCCAGCATTTCCGAAGATGATATATTTAGAAAATATTTTGTCTCATTCATTTACTAAAGTTGAACCTGCATTTCTCCCCCTAATGATTAATGTTACAATACTAATTATGCCCCTCGTTTTTGTCACTTTTATGATATTTTTTAATCATTAAAAGCAATAATTGTGATAAAATTAAATAAAGTTAGAGGTAAAATCGTTTTTTGTGTCTCCTGAAAAATTTGTAGGAATGGAGTTACGCACTAAGCCGATTAAGCCGACGAGATATGAGTTAACGAACTTTGTACAAAGGTAAAAAGTGACTGATACCCCTACTTATTAGTTTTAAATGCTTTTATTAATATATTAATATTATTTAAGTTAATAAGATTTTTTGATATTAAATCATATTATAACTAGCTATTTCTAATTCTTGTTATATTTGTTTTGTTTGTATTTTATTTGCGTGTTCAATTTTAGGAACACAGAAATGCTAATTTTGTACCTAAATATTATATTTTATTTTGCTTGTGCAGTTTATTCTACTTTTAATTTTGATTGATCATTTTATATATCGATATTTATTAATTTTTATTAACAATACATTTTTATTAACAATTTCTTTTGAAAGTCGTGAAAAATTATCTAATTAATTTAATTAATAAGGCTTTTGATTTATAAATAAAAGATAATCAAATAGCAAAGAAATAAATTTACTGTCTAACAAATCTGGCAACCCTGTTCTGCCACTCATTACTAATTTTTTTTTCCGTAATTTTTTCTTTTGTCGAAGTTCCACCGCCGACGCGAAGCAGACGCTTGTGGTCCCGCCCTCTATCTCAGAAGCGATCTTTTCACTCACACTCATCGTGTCACTTCTTCTAATCAGTGGAAGGGAAAACAGAGTTATCTCTCTTTGTTACACTGCAGAGTAGACTGCAGCCGTGTCATCTTTTTTTATCGCATTGAGAATCTCCTATTGCTAACATTAGCTTTGCCAAACGGGTATACATACTTAAGCATTAATGTATTAATAAGTTAAATTCACTCCAGGTTTTTACCACTTTTTAAAAAATGAAAATTTTCAAATATGAATTATCATGGAAATCCCGCATATATAGTGCTTCAAATAAATCAATAGTGTGATGTATGCTGAATTTTATGCTGAACCCAATTTTGTACAGAAAAATGGTAATTTGACTCCAATTTTAAAGAAATTTTTTTTTAGGATATGCACCTTTTTTATGTAGAAGTTTTTTTTCATACATTTGTCAACTACGACGATATTGGACTTCCTCGCACTAATGGCCGCCCTATATACATACTTATAAAAATTCTCTTCTAATGTGCCTCACCATCTTCCAGTGCTACGAACCTCCCCTGAAAATTAGTGTATCAAAATTACTTACACAATATTAATTGAAATCACTAATTATCCGTTTTTTTATGTATACTATAATTATATCATTATTAGTTTTTTATATATTTTTTAACAGATTTTTATACAGTTCTAACAGTATGTATGAGTATTTGTATCTTAAAATATGAATTGTACCTAATTATATTATTAATGTGTCTAATTAACTAAGAATGTGTTTATAGATTTTATAGTAAAAATATATAATATGGCCCTTTAACACTTCCTCCTACATGTACCATATAATAAAATGCTGCTACTTCTACTTCGCTTCTATCCCGAAAAATATTCTCTTGATTAAACTACTATTCAGTTCTAGCGTTCGCGCTCAATTTACTTTATGAAACTAGAACTCTCGAGTCGAAAGAAAATTTCTTAATTCTAGAAACTACGAAAAAGTAAAGCTCCTTTGTTTAAAAGCTTTTATTTGTTTTCAAAGTAAATATAATAAATTCAAGGAAACCTTACAGTTCTTAATTATAAATGGAAGTTCGTTATATGAAGGTTTTACTTCCGTAGAAATATGAAAATTCAGAGCAATTAAAATTAAAAATTAGTTGATAATTTATTTATTTTTTATTAATAAGTATTTTAATATTCTTATTATTAAGATTGAGAGTGAAGAATATCCTTACGTATGTTCCATGTCAACATGGAATTGCAATGCTATAGAGTTACTTTTATTTTTTTTTAATTTAATTTTTAACTGTGAATTCTGTATTATTAAAAAATTGTAGCGTTTTTTAAAACAACTACCACTGCGAACGGCAGCTTTTCATTGAAGAGCAGTCGTGGATAAGGTATTTCACTAGAGAGAAAATTAATCAATAATAATAAACAAAAGATATCTAGATATTGGGCGCCAGGCATGTACAGAGAAAGAAAACACAATTGTATAATACTTAAAACTAATGACTATATTTATTCGTGACGAATTCTGATGGTGAATAGCATTGTACAATTTTAATAATTATTATAGTGGTTACCTGTTGAATAAAACTATATATGTAAATAATATTAAATACTTCTATGTAAAGACTATAAGGAAAATACAATGCGTGTAACATTAGAGAAAATATAAGAAAAGTAGCATTACTTTATTTAAATTGTTAAATTTATACGGTGTTCAATCAGATGTGTTGCAACCTGTAGATTCTAGAATCTATCTCGTCATTCATCTATTAGTATAGCGTAATAATGATGTCTATAGAAAGTAATACCATTACAATGCGTGATATTATGAAATCTAAAATCTAAATCACACTTTTACTACTGCATTGACATAAATATTCTTAATAATCTAACCACTAAATATAGTCTGTACGCTATAGTTTAAATGTACGTTACTGTTTAAGACTGAAAACATTTTAGGTGTTAAATGCAATACTAGAACTTAAAATTACACTTAGCTGTTCTTTAATGTAACCCTGCTTCAACCAGTAGCAGCGCGAGGAGGTCTTGCATCTCTGCACTGTCTGTCGGCGATCCAGGCTTAGAAATGGGGGTGAAGCAGCACGGGGCTCAAGCCACACCCACGCTGGGGCACTCTATGTGAAGACAAATCAATCCTACAGGGGACACTTGTCCATGGGACATCCGTCCATAAGACAGTGGCACAAGGGAATACTAGGACCTTGGATAATGCCCGTACCTTGTAAATAGTCCGTCCGTAAGACCCTAAGAACACGAAACTCTTGTTTAAAATCAAACAAGGTCTAATAAGCAAAATAAACCTACCTCGAAATACTCCCGAGGGCTCAATAAATAATAAACAAGCTGTCCTTTCTTCCAAATGACATTCTGGAGGACAAAAGCAAAGGGACGCCAACGTGCCAGCCAAATACAAATACAAGTTGGGACATCCGTAACTCTACCCTAAAAATATTCACTAATAATATCGAATCTAAAAAGGAAAATAACTCATCTTTACCTGTTGCTTCGAAATGGCAGCTGATTCAGATTATACAGCAAGATTTAAATAATCACCATTTCTAAAAGCTGGGATAAAACAGAGCGTCAAAACAAATTGAGGTTAAGCACGGAGAGTTGACAGCGCGCGCCTCCACAGAATAGTAACAGGATTGTGTCGAACGATCACAGGGTTGGCGACCAGGGAACGTAAAAATTACGCGTCAAATAAACTATCCGGCCTGAACGAGAGGGAATCCGGTGATGATAGGCCAGACATCATATATTATATATAAAAAAAACATGTAACGAACTAAAAACGTTACAAAATATAATTTCTTGGTAAGTTACTAATTTAAAATCAGGTGCTAGGTATTATGGTCATAAATTTAGTAAACAAATTTTTGATTTTATACAACCCGTCACAATTTTCATGGCTTAAAAAACTGAATTAGGTATTCTACGACAGTTATCACAATTTGTAGTGGAACTTTTTTGTGTTGTATTTAATGTAGCATGTTGACCAATTTATTAGATGAATTTTGATAATAGTGAATTATAAAATAAGCTTATTTAAACTAAAACAACAGATTCACAATATAATCGAAAAAGAAAGAGATTTTTTAAGAGAAAATGTTTGTTTTTACTATACAGGGTCGCTGATATATAGAAACGGTCGATTTTTAGGTAAAATATAGAAGGTACCGAGAATAGTTAAATACAAAAGTTAAAGGATTTTTAAATATCTATTAGCGAGTAAAAAATTTAAGTGTACAGGGTCGGTCATAAAGTCTTGGCACCGCAAAGTTTTATTTTTTAAAAATAGAACCCCCTGTATATTATTGTATATTTCAATTGTTCCTTCTTAAGTATACTTAAATTTACTAGTAGCTAATAGGCATTGAAAACCCCATTACAACAGTAACACAGTTTCGGCAGAATGGCATCATTAAGTGAAACTGAAATCGAAATTAATTAAATCAAATTGTTTAAGAGATATGTTCGAAAATTAATAACTCGGAAACTGTTGGTTTGAGGTACATTGTATTTCGATTTTTGCTTTGGATTAAAGGAAAAATTGAAATGTGCAATTGAATAATATACCGAGGGTTCTATTAAAAAAAAATGAAACTTTGATGTGCCACGAATTTATGATCGACCCTGTATACTTAAAATTTATTACACTCTAATAGAAATTTAAAAATCCTATAGCTTTTGTGTTTAACTTTTTGCGGTACCGCCTATGTTTTACCTAAATCGACCGTTTCCATCAAAGATATTTAAACTCAGGAGATACAACGATCCATTCATAAAACGCTCTAAACCTTCATCACACATTGGTTTGCGAAAATCAACGAGTGCGAAAGAGAATGAACAAAGAAGGGAATAGGGTATCGGCGCTACGGCAACAATGTAGTTGTTTACAAAGATTAGACCGTCGAGGTCGTTAATTTCCAGTGGCGTGCAGATTGACCGACAGTATTTTAAGAAAATTAAAAAAATAAAATATGAATATTTGAGTGTATTAATACGATAAGTTGCAAAACCCGCCCCAAACACGTTGTTTCGAGATAATAAGCAAAAACTGTTTTAGCAAATGTTTCAAGCGTTAATTTACAAAAAACGTGTCCATTGGAAACGTGTCCACGTGTTCTGTATTTCGTTTTTCGAGAAATAAAAATGAATATTTAATTTTTAAACAGAAAAAACACAACAATAATTCGGATAAGGCGGATTTTGTTGCAGTATGATGCATATTACGGGTGTTGATACAATATGATCAAAAAAAAAAACGGCGTTAGCAATGGCTATAACATGAAGAACGCTGTCCGTATATGTGGGAAATGTCATCGATCATTTCCTAGCCAATTTTTTTCGATCATACGGTATTTGCATCCTTGATTATTAACTTGATTTATTACATATACTATTTTATTAAAATTAAGTAAGGATTTGAGAAGACGTCAGTAGTAATATACCGTGTAAAAAGCTTATGAAAAAATGCGGGATTTGTAACAATAATGACCATAAAAAGCAAATATAAGGGGATAAGACGGATTTTGCTGCAGTAACGTAATTTGTAGTGATTTTTATATAGGAATAGGCGACTTTTACTGCAGTTTGGGATTATGTAGTTTTCAGGGTCCACTATTAATATATCATTAGGCCAATTTTTTTTAAATGGATAAGGCGAGTTTTGCAACTTGACGCCTCATTTGTTGGCTTGTAATAAAAATTAAATTGAGGGAGGATACTAAAATAAAACAATGAAAGATATTGGAATAAACAAAAACTTACATACATTTTTATTATAAAATATTACGATTAAAAAAAATCAATAGGTTTTTATTTCATTTTATTAAATAAAAAATCAACATGTTAGGTGTCTTATGAAATGACTAATACTTTTAGTAAGTAATAATTATAATAATGAATTACTCCTTTAAAAAAATAGAATAAATACTAAATATAAAGATCAGACTCTAAACTTATATTTTCTTTTTATACAGGGTGATTCATGAAGAAATGTGAATGCTTCAAGTACGTATTCAGAACCGAAAATTATACATAAATTTATATAAATATGTGTCCGTAAGGCCATCGTTTTTGAAATACAGGGTGTTGAGTTTTAATTTAAAAATTAATTTAAAGAAAACAAGTAAAAAACTTAAAAATTAATTACTACAAAGCAATCAATAATTATAATATTCATGGCATTTGAGATTGTATTAGTGCCACTATTTTGAATAAATTAATAAGACAAGTTATATATAAGTTTGATGAAATTATATTGTTATGCTATTAAACAAAGTACGGAAAATAAAACTCGTTCTGGTTTTTATAACTTCAAACCTGTTGCTTACAATCAATTTCTTCACATACAGTACGTCTGTCCGTTCTGTGGCTACGGGGTATTCGTG